CCAGAAGGTAAATGAGAGGAAGATTTGGTCGCTGAGCCAGACCAAATATGACAGGGAAATCGGAAGACTTCTCAGGACGCTAATTGCGGAACACGCAGCAGCCGTGCGGAGAAACGACGCCAATTATCAAATTGCAGCTAATTAGGTGACACCCGGCTACACATTCAAATTTGGTGGGGTTGAAATTCTCGTGAGAGGGGACAATCGTGTGAGTCGAGAATTGTTTGAGTCGTGGTTCACAGGGCCCAGTCTATAAAAAAGTACACGACCTGCTCGATCCATATTCATTTCTGAGGCTCAATTTGGCCAAAGCATGTTGCCACTTGGAGAATGCACAAGCCAATACGTCCTCTAACGCCAGCACCAGAGAGCCAGATGGATGAGCAGTCACCATGCCCAAGTCCACCACTTGTGATGAAAGTTCAGCGGGACACGACCCACATACCGGTCATCAAGCAATTAGCACAGGAGCGGGCAATTATCCTCGATAGGGGAGTCGTTAATTGTCATAAGGCTGCAGTAGCATAGTGACTATATACTATAAATACTGAAACTCTCCGTGCATGAATTACCCATTTCTGATAATGTCTCTGATTAAGGATCCGTGACGGATTTCGAAAAGTTGAGCCAATAAAAGTTTTGTCGCAGCGATTGCAGCTTCTTCTTCTCAAGTAGGCGTGCTGATTTCGCCTTAAAGGTATTGCACCACTGCAAAACTGGGGTCCCATGTGTGCTGTTGTGGCGTGCTGATAATTAATCTTCGCAAACCGACTTCCTAGTCCACTTCATGCATGCACACGCGTGGGCTTTTGAAACTGAGCTGCCATTTTTTGTTCTCTATTCACCTGTTAATTTCTCGCAAATACATCGGTTGATCTACCGCACCCAGCAAAAACCCATCTTTGACTCTCTTTGTTTTTTTACCTACAACAATGAAGTCTTCAGCGCATGACTCTAGCACCGTTTTGAAAGAAGTCCACTTTTGCCTAAATTTTGTGACTCATTTAAGAACGATTCGTTGGCAATTGGAGTGTTCGGTCATTATGCCTTGTTGGTGATCTCTCGGTTTCATGTGGGTTTTGTGCCTAATTTTACTCACAGTGAATGAAGGATGTTTTTGTTGAAAATTCTGGAAAAAATGTTTTCAAAACAAAGCGTAACTCTCTTTCTCTCACTACCTCTTTTTGGTCAATACGCCACGGCAGCATGAGGCCGATCGACTATTGTCTTTTCTCTGATCGGTCAAAGTTGACCGTCGTTCTCTCTTGATTTGTCAGTGCTTAGATGAAAGCCTACAACTACTCAAAGCTTTCTCCCAGGCACCTGCGCATTATCCACCACAGAAAATGGGTGGAATTCTACCTTGCGTCCCAGAAATTGTTCAAATAATATAATACTTACGCAACAAAATGGCGCGCCATGAATAAACACAGAAATTAACTTAAAATTCTTACTTACTTATAGGCTATTGAGTGTGACAAATTCGGAAATTTTTACTTACGTAGTTTATTAGGTTTCTTGATATTCCTGAAGAAAAGTTGATAGTTGGGAGGTCATCTACTTCAACTTATTTGAGGTCCAACTTTCCGTTCTGGAGTTAGGTTAGTATAATTCGCGGCGCAAAGCGCCGCTCACACCCTCATGTGCAACAACTTTGCGTTATTTTATTTTATTTGGTTTATTTAACTTATTTATATTTAAGTTTGGTTTTCAGTTTATTTTTCAGTTCATTTTTGTGTTTACTATGATTAATACTTTAGTTTTATATTATTTTTTTTAATTCAATCAGTTAAGTTTACTTTACGCTTTAAGTCAGTTGATTTTGGCCTTAGTCAGTTATTTTTATTTTAGTTATTTCCCAATATTTGAATAATTGCACATTTTAATCACAGCGCGCTTTTTTGTCGATAAACATTAGATGATTTAAGTAATTATGCCCGTTTTTTCTTTTTTAAAATTTTTCTTTTTTTCATTTATACTTTCTTTCCTTTTTATTGCCCAGACTGTATACTCTTTATTTCACCCGCTTCTGTATTACAGAAGGATGGGGCTTTCACTTGCTGATTTGGAACCCAAAGTGGGATTCTGCCAAAAATGCTCTTTACATACTTAAATTCTGACATTTTTCGTCAGGTTTGTCTGAGCATCAAAATGCACGTCCACTGATCGGATTCATGCCTCACAGTATATCAGCTCTGTTTGTGCACAGAGGACCAACTACTAGGTCTCATATTGGTAAGCTAAATCGTACCATGTACAGATCGATAAAGACCTAACCAGCGGTCTCCGCATCGCGACTGCCATTACCAGAAGACACAACTAGTTTGCACTGAGACTCCAAGCAGCTCGGTATGCGTCATTTTTAGGAAGGATAAAATGTTCTGAGCCAGGTTAAGGTAAGTCCTGGAGGAAAAGACAACTGACCTGAATGGTGAAATCGTCCGGTGCTGCTCGTAGGTGCACCAGTTGTCTGGTCTCAAAATTGGCCAGATCTCGATCGCACGGAGGACTTCCAACACTAGCCATCCGCATGACTTGTTCTCGGGGGTCGCCAGTCTGGATGAGGTTGCTACCAGTCTGTGCATAGCCAATACTCGAACAGGGCACAGGTGCGGGCCAGACCTGACCAGGAATGCCGTACACAGATCGATTGTCCTTACCAATGAAGGGGATTGGAGTCTGTGGGGTTTCCCGATACTTGTCTGACACCGTGGCAATGAAGGGCGCCTTCTGACCCATGGAATCCTTGGGTTTACCCTGTACTGGCCGGAAGTCGTGTATGAAGTTGACATTACTGGGAGCATTCATTTGTGCCTCGCGGAGGTGGTGACCCTTGCGACGAAATCGGATCAAAATTGTACCGAAGACGATGAGCAGGAGACAGCCGAGGAAAACCAAACAGCAGACCAAAATGAGGCGCCGATCGATGGGAAAGGAGTACTCCTGTCGAGGCAGAGAGAGGGGATTCGTGTCATCCACAAGGGAATTGGGGCTATTAGGGTCGTAGGTGAGGATACCATCGCTACCCGTCCTGGGTGAGCCCATACTCCAGGCTGAAGCCCCATCGCTCCGAGTTTTGGGGTATCCTGCTGCGGAGCCGAAGTCTACTGCTGCGCTTCCGCGTTGGTAGTTGCGTGTGTCAATCACGACCGTTATGTAGGTCACTGAAGACCTCGATGGCACGCCACTGTCCTTTGCCTTAAAAGTAGGAAAAAAGTAGAATTCAGAAAGACTAACCTCTGAACATATACAGCACATCATAAATGCACGATCTGTGAATGCCTAGCACCCACCTGCTGATTAAACTTCACGCTTCGACATTTTCATGGATTAAGACTTCAATCATGGATTTTATGGCGACTTGTATTATGGCTTCATTTTGGACAAAATTATCGTGGCCAATGGAGTGAAAGTACCACCAAAGGATACAGTAAAATGTACATTTTTTAGTTTCTTAGAGTTGACTTCCGTGGGAAGAAAGACAACTACATGGGATGACTACCCCACACAGACCGCTTGAACTTACGGTTACAGAAAGTAGCAATATTGCCAGAGGGGATGGTGAGATTATGAAGGATCCCGCCCAAATATTTTCCGCCCGAAAGCTCCTGAGACTTACTATGATGGTATTAAACCCTTTAAACCCCAGCATTGTCACCTAAACGTATCCGCACCGAATAAAGTGGCCATCAGGAAGTTCAGTTTGTCGTGAAATGGCATGGACACGGTGTCTGCTAGAGATGAACAACCGTTTACATGTGCTAGACACATATGACCCGGGCACTACTAGATTACCGTATGGGCGGCTCGGAGCACACGCACGTCTAGGATGCCACGAAGGTCACATTAAGAAGGAGTCATCGCGGCCCGACACTCAGTCTGGAGAAAGGCCAAGTTATCCTGGCAGTTGACAGTCTTTCAAACCATGATTATGTAGTGGTAGATTCGAGCCTGTCGGATCTGTTATAGTGAGGAATGTGTTGGTTTGCTGTGGTCATAATGCCTCATAATGAGTCTTACTCTTTCTTCGCACTCCAAAGCACTGGCCGAGAGTTCTGTAAAGATTACTTGTATACCTCTTTAGACAGTACACGGGGGGGGGTTGCAAGAACGCCCCGCCCAAGTAACAGAAGTGGTCCTGTGCATAGCTCCAGGGAGGATAAATATTCCCGTGTCCTAACCCGGCTGTTCGGCTTAACGCAAACCTAAACCGTTGTTCTAATCTTAACCCTAATTCTCCCTTCAACTTTAATCCTATTTCTAATCCCTACGCTTAGCCCAAGCCCTAACAATAAACCTACGCCTATGTTCCCAGAAGTTTGGCGCGGGTGGCTCATGTTCTCGTGTCCTGTCTAGATGAACGGTTCCTCTTAGCATGATCCACTTGTGAGGCCATACACAGTAGCTTGTGTAACTTAAGAATAGCCGAGATCGAAATTTGGGCGGGTGGGATACCGGCATAAATATCATGGTTGTTTTGCAATGACTTCACTGAGAAAGACCTCTCTAGACCGGTAGGTGCACAGTTTAAATGTCCTTCCTGGTAAGTTCTCCGCAACCGTCATCTATAGTTTTCTTAAACTAATTCTTGTCAATGCAGATACGAGTACTAGTTAAAAGTCAGGGAACGTCCTCTTATACCAGGGATGGCAGGCATTCATAGTGGGGCCGCCTAGTGGCAATAGGAGATGCTCTAATAGTTTTCTTGGTCTATAGGCTCCCATTGCTAACCAATAGGGATTTGTTCTTATAGTCTTCTAGGTCATTTTTTTCCGCAACCTTTTTACCTGGGTTTTTAGCTAAGTAAAACCATTGCAAGCGGCTTTAATTTACTTTCTATTAGCTGCTCAGTAATCAAGCATTCTACCTTTAACCACGAATTCCGTCAGATACTTGGGTTGAGAGACTCTTGTCATTGGACGGCCCCACGATGCATCCCTACCCCAGGGATTATCACAGGGACAAATTCTAGTTTCCGAGTAAGCCGAAAACCTCACCCACAGACGGGACTGCCGTAGAGCTTTCGTATGAAGGGTAAATATCTGAAAAACTTTTTCTACTTCGACAGCATTCTCGGGCGTGTCCCGACCAAGCCACAGTTCTGTCGATTGGCTACAACTGGTGAGTTTCGGCTACATCCGAGACTGTGCTGTCTGCTTTATTTTGTCCAAGACTATCGGAGATATAGTATGAAAGGTACTCCGTTCAACCTACCTCAATCTCCAAATGGTGGCTACCGATGTCCTCATCCACGACTTCTCTGGCAAATGAGAGTTCACCACTGCGTGGATTCAGGGAGAAGAGACCCCTGGAAGTGGAGTTCTTGAGAAGGAAGAGGAGGCCTTGGTCGGCGGGGGCGTCAGCATCAAAAACGGTCAACTTGACGACGGCAGTGCCCTGAAAAAGAACGAGTAGTGGATAAGTAGATAGATCAAGTAGGTGGATGAATGTTAATTGCAGATTCACTAGGGACAGAAGTGAACACTGCTGGTGAAGAATATTCTGAGCATAAAAAAGAAAACTATCATGAAGAGCCTAAAATTTAACAAAAGGCTGCCACAATTAAATCACACAAAAGGGACTAGGAGCGGATTATTCTTGGACCCTAGTAAATGCGCGGCTGATCGTCGACTCAGAGGAGCTTATCCCCGACGCACATCGGCGTAATTCTCTCTATAATAGATCGGTGGCGCTTTAATTTATCTCGACTTGCTACGTGAGATAGCTTGGAAGGTTGTCAACTGGTGAGATAACTTGGACTGCACAATCGGTCCTGAGTATGTATGCGGAGCGGCTGACTGGTGGACTGAGAATTAAACTGCAATTTCTCCTTCCTAGTATGGCCTCTATGGCACTTTCAGGAATGCAAGCTGCAAGTTGCTCACTTGATTCTATAAGATCTGATAAATTGTGTGGAAAGCGTTGTAGGGCCACGTGTGGATGGGATGTTTCCTTTTATCAGTCCTTGCGCATGCCTCCACCCCCAGTCGCCCTGACTATCCCATGCCACTGAGCTCAACTGCATGCGTGTGTGCGGGGTACGAGAAAGTGACGAAGATGCTGTGCAAGTTTTCCTTCACTCCGT